AGACGATCCGTCTAGTTGTGCAGATATGATACCTCGGAACTCAACCAAGATATCTCCCCGCGAGCTGTCGCCAGTTAGCCGAAAAGGGAGCGGACATCCCGCTCGACCTGAAGCTGCGCTGTGGCGTAATCGGCGCGGTTTCTCGCCCGATCAGCCTCGCGATCCTTGCGGTTCTTCCGCACGGTATCAGTCAAAGCGTAGCGCCGGTCGCGCTCGTGCTTCAAGTCATCGCGCAATTCATCGATTGCGCGATCCATCTCGCAAGGGTCGAGATGGTGAACAGAATCATCTGGAGGAGGTCTTTCCTCCTCCACCACATCCTTTGGTGAATTCTCAAGGTGGTCAACGCTTTCTAGTGGAGCGTATCTTGAATCACCGTGACGATTTAGGATCAAGGACGAGCTACCTCGTCCAGTGGCGGGGGTAACCCCCATCGTATTACAGCTGGGAAACTCGATCCCAGCTGATGGCTGACGTTGAAGGTCTCGTCCACCAGTATGACGAGACTCATCCGATAGGTCCGATGGCCCATCGGTAAACACGCGCTTTTGGCGCTTCTAGACGGATTGCAAGTTTGCAATCGCGTCACGCATCTCAGCCGAGATGTGTGCCCTTCCCCAGGGTGAACTTAGGGAAAACACGTCCCTATGTGCACGCTGCGAGTTGTCAACACAACTCGAACAAGGGTCTCCCCATGTGAGGCAAGAAATGTCTGCCTCACTCGACAAACAGTGCAACCGGTACCTTGCACCGGTTGGCGTTCGCTTTTCGAAGCTGAGGCGCGTCGCCTCAAGTTTCTTGAGCCACCTTTCTCGTCTAAATTCTTTACGTTTTGGACGAACGCGTTCTACGCCGCCAAAAGCGATGTTTTGTCACGCTTTTGGTTGCTGTTGTACCATCGATGTCTAAGGAAGACATCGAGATAAAAATCTTCCTCAGCGCGAAAGTTGCTCGCGCTGGGAGTTCAAGCCATGAAGCTCAGTTGAATCGAATTAAGGAATTAGATGGTGTTGGCTTTTTTCGTGAGACAAGCCATTGATGAGCTGCTCGGGCAAGAGCCACATCTTGAGCTCATCACGCTTCAATGTGGTACCTGTTTCGGTACCACGTCTTCCAGAATAACGATGGATCTCGCCATTGTCACCACGCTCTTGCGGGAAGGCACGAGTTGATACTGGTGAGACATAGTAGTCCTCACTATAGAGTTCATCATCACTGCCGAACAGACTGTGATGCATTTCACGAGTCCGCTCGTTCGACATTGCTCTTGAAGAATGATGAGGCACCGCCGGTGATCGGGATGCCTCTGGAACGTTGCGCGAGTCAGGCACGTCTGACTCGCCATAATTGATGACCTCATTGCCAAGGTCATCATGTGCACGTGGTGCGATACCGCGTGCGTCTGCAGAACCTGTTGCTGCAGGCGAAGAAAGAGCAGCAGACGACGAAGAGTCTGCCGCAGAGGCTGGCACAGCAGCAGGCTGTGTGGTCTTCGAACCACCTCGCATCGACATGTTAACTATGCGAGTCAAGGTCAGGGGTGAATGGGCATGACTGAACAAGTGCTCCCTGTCCCACTGGTGTCGAACGGGTGGCCACCAAGTTTTCGATTATTACACGGTGACTATCACATAAGGGAGGGGTGATGTAACGGGGTAGCCCGTTACATGAGATTGTCATTAAAACAATCTGACAATAAAGAATATCACGTTGAATATTCTATCAACAATATCACAGAGCATGATGATATTGTTGAAGATGACCGAAGGGTCTACGCATTGGTTGATATCGTGATGATATCAACCCACCAATCGCTGCTAGACGCGCGCAATGGGTGGTGAGTAGACTCAATCATACATATAGTTACATAAGTATAATTAAGTCAGGACAACAGAGACTACAAGGAGTTATAGGACTTAACTATATTAATACAGTTTTACTTTTACCAAGAGACTAGTCTGACTACTTAGTCTCCTTTCCTTCCTCTGTGTTTTCCTTAAAACACCTAGCAGGGCACTGTCGACCACTGTCGTCAGTGGAAGTATACTCCGTACTCTTGACCAGTACGTAGTCAACAGTGCCCCGTTACAACTTGCCAATTAATGGCCTAGAAATTTTGAGAAATACCTTTGTCAAAAATCAAATCTTAAAATGAATAAAGGTTTTATACATAAGGTTTTGAAGTAAGGGTGTGAATCTAAGGAAAAGGGGTGTGAATTTAGCAATTCCCTTATTTAGTAGCTCTTTTGTCTTTTTTTGCATCTTCGAACGCTTCATTTGAAGAATTGTTTGTTATTCTACCTATTTAAATATCTTCAAAATAGATATCATATATATCCAAAGATTGTAAATATATTGATTTATCATTACAAAAGAAGATATTTACGAAATAAATAGGAAATTTGTTTGAAATTCTATGGATTGCAATGAGGAAGAGATACCTGATCGACAACAACATATGATTCCTCTTTTTGTCTAAACGATATCGTATCGATATATATCAAAGCGTTCAAAATCTTCTGGAGGGATGTGGCAGTCAAGTTGAACCTGGTGCAAATTATTTTTTCAAATTACATTCACGAATTTTTTTACACAAAAAAGCGGTCCATTGCACGTATATTTTATTGTAAAATAGGGTATTGACGATCAGCTCGTAAAAATATAAGGGTTACTACCAAAAAAATGTTTTTTTATTGTTGTACACTTCGTTGTTTGTCTTAGCTTCAGATTATGCATCAAGAAATAGTCTATGTCGCACAAGAAATTACCAATAAAAGACGAAGGTGATTACAGTGCGGACATCATTCTGACAAGGTAAAATCAAACTATTTTGCACCGAAACGCACTACGACTTCGTAGTGCGTTTCGGTGCAAAATAGTTTGATTTTACCTTTTTAAAGAGGTAGCGGATTCAGTGCGCACCACCGATAACCTGTATCTTTTTTGGCAGCCAAATTTAAAAAGGAAAAAATTGTTTTTATTGCCGTTTCCGCAATCGACAGCGCCTTTTCCAATGCTCACGTCGCACTGCGCATAATAATTACGTCTTTTGCATGTTTCAATACCAGCTTATGTATTTATCAGTCAACAGTTATCAACATGCCGCCCCAACATATGGCCACGGAATATGCAGGTGAAAGGCCTATTGCTGCGCCCGAGTTTCATCTAAATTTAATGTGATTTCATAACCGAAAAGGGCTTTTGAAAGAGACTGTCACTGCGACCGGCCATCACATCATTTTTAGTCTCGGTTTCATTGCGAACTGATCTCCATCGAAATGTTCCGAGGAGAATCAAAAGGCCATGATTAAACAAATTGCGACTGCACATATAAAGGCCTCGAGGAGATGGTCCCAATATCCCTTGCATCTGTCTCTCCTTTCGACCATTCGCATCCATGCTCGATAGTGCTTTCGGTACATGGACGTATATCGCATGATTCTGACTAGGAAGACCGTCCAATACGCCGCGAAGATGTATCGGTCGTACCGCAAGGTACTTATTCGAAACTAACGTATGTGGAACGTTTTACCCGCTGCCAAATACTGTGCTTTGCAATAGTTTTTGCAAAACGTGATGGTTTTTGATGAATTTGGATAATTGCCTGCGTCGATTTATAGTAAATAGAATACATAAAGAAGCAAAAACCCACCGTTTGGGGTGACGACAGCCATTTTTGAACTTTTAGACTGCCAAAATGTATCCGCTAATTCGTCTACCTACTTATAGGGCTGCATGCGGAAAATTACGATAAAATCGAGAGAAAAAGTCTACGCAGGGATTTTAGGGGCGGCCAAATGTGGCTCGCCGCGAGCCATTATTCACATCACTCTCCAATCTTTAGGGTCCTATAACTTCGCGGAAAACTTGTCAAATAAAAATTCGAGACTTCGCGGAAAACTTGTCAAATAAAAATTCGAGACTATAGAAATGAAGCTAGTAGTATGCTCAAGCCATCTCTGGTCTTAGATTTGTGTTTAAAGAAGTATGGGGTGAGGAGTTGCTGAGTGACGGAGGTCAGAAATGTTACAGGTTATATATGGTGCACACAATGAGTTCGGAGCAGCTACCATATCGTTGTGCCAATAGTGTCCGCGATCTGCACGAAGTTAGACGTTGCGGACACAGCCATGTGCCCAGCCACATTCTGATAATGCTTTTCATGGTGATGCTAGAATATTCAACCTTTTGTGACAGCGCACCTCACCGACATCACAACTGACGTTGACTGACATGATTGCTGACAAAGCTCTTGCAAAGTCGCCGATTGAACATCTCAGCATCGAGATCCTTGCCTGTGAAAAGATCGATATGTGTGTGAATACAGCATGCATGCGAAAGTCTTTCACGCGTTCTTATGTCTACTCTACCCCCACCATACGCCGCAATAGCCTTGTCGTGCGTGATGCACGGCCGCCGTAGAGCAAAGCTACAGAGTGTTCTACTGAGACTTCAAATGTCTATACATTTGACTCTATAGCCGAAAGAAATACAGTCCCTCACAAGAGCAGTAGACATCGAGAATACCACAATGCGGTACTTTGCCGGCCGAACGTACGCCTTCGACCTCTCAGACCTTCTCAATCATCGTAAACCCGTTCTCCCTGCGCGCGAGCTAGTCCTTTTCATTGAAGATGGCGCATCAGCATGTTCTGGATGCGATGCGACCACAGTGTCAAGGCTCCGCGTCAGGGCACAAAGCTTTTCCATCAGCAGCAAGTCTTTCAATCGATCGAGGTGGAGTGACTGGCGTGTTTGCTTCAGCTACGTATAGATTTCTAAGTACCACCAATGATTAGAGCTGCACCTCCTCCTCCCGTGACCGACGTGCGATAGATGGAAACAAAGTGACTCGAACGCGACGGCGGGCGTCTCGCTAGCCATCAGTCGGCAGCCGTCAATCAACGATGGAGATGCAACGTCTCGATTGCAACGTGCTTCACAAATCTGCATTTACCCACAACATCCCACCACGCCCTTCGCTACAAGTGTCCCCAGTCATGCAATCGCTGGTGTTCGCTGCTTTGTCAGCGTGTGCACTTGCACTTGCGATTGCTGCTGCTCAAGATACCAGTGCTGGGTTACAAGTGGGCAGTATGGCAGCGGATCCTGCTGACCCAGTCACTACCCCACCGGTCGCGACGGATCGAGGAACGACCGCACCTGCTGTCGCCGATGTTGCTGCTTCAGCCCCACCAGATGTCGCCACGCAAGTCACGGACCTTCCAGGTCCCGTGTGGACGGCCGATCCTGTGCCAACAATGAACAACGGCAACGGCAGTGACAGCGGCAGCTCGAGCGGTACCACTGACATTGCGGTCCCCGTGACGAGAGCGCCCAAAAGGGACACGACGGCATCTCAATCGCAGTCAGACTCGCTGGCTCCGTCTGACACCTCTGGCGCTCGTAGCGTCACGACTGCCATCGGCACGTGGGCGCTGGTGGGACTGCTGCTGGGGCTTGGCTCAATCCTATGGTAAAGGCGACGAGCGTGACGTGCACGAAGGGCACAGCACGCACACTGTCCACGACGTGACGCACGTGCGGTCGCAGTGGATTTCCCCCGACCCTTCCGAACCCTATGCGAGTTAGGGCTGCGTTGTCGCCACGTCGGCTAATTCCAGCGCTAGATTTTCTGCTCTTTTGGTCGTGTCGTTCACAGCTGGTTCCCTTTTTATTTTTCCGTAAAGGCCTGCCGCCTCGCACGGCAGTAACGGGCAAATGCGCTATCCATTTCTCAGGACTTTTGATGTGATAGAGTCCATGCAAGGCGCGCATGTAGAGTTGATACCCGCAGCCTGGCTTACACACGGCATTGAACTTCTGGCAGGTGCGACATCGCAGCTGGACGAGCAGCGGGATCAAAAATTGATGCCTCGCATATGCTGCAAAAAAAGTGAGCAATCGACTATCCCGTCGCCCGATGGCGTCGTATCGTGGTCTCGTCGTGGATAAGACTATATTTCTCCCCCAATTTCGATGCGCTTGCAGAAGGTTTAGGTGCTGCGAGTGGAGTGCTGCCAACTCGTGGGCACGCTAGCCACACATGTGCTGACCTCTTTTCCACGATAGGGTTCCTACCGACCATATTTTTAACGCCAGCAACACGTGGCACTCCAACTGGATTCAGGAACTTCTGTTTTCATCCAAAATGACTTTTGTTTTCACAGATAGTATGTCTCCTCTACACCGATAAGATGGCCACATGTCGGGATTCGTAGGCGTCAGCTGCTTACGAGTCTGCGGTTTGCGGGACGTAAAAACGCGTCTCCTTTCCATCTCTCGCGTTCACTATGCGTCCTTGTCCTATCGATCGTGTGCTCGTCGCGCGATGGCCCACCAGGCGACGACCGGCTGTGCCTTTCTTCGTTCGTGTCGTACGCTCGTTCGTCGGTCGCGCACGCAAGAGAAGCAAAGCGACCACCCGATGGTCCCGACGGCTCTGGACAGCGGATAGCCGCCGCCGCCAGCGTGTCGGTTGCCTCGCGCGCCAGCCTCCTCCTCATTTTCCCATTTCCCAGCAACTGCCCAGCAGCTACTACCACCCCACTCTCCATTCACTCACTTCCAAGTACACCATGAAGGTCTTCGGTTTCGTCGCTGCTGCTCTCATCGTCGCCATTGCTAACGGACAGGAAGCTGGACCGTCGACCACCACGACGACGACTACTGGCGGAACCCCTCCGGCCACTGGCGGAGCCCCTGCTCCGGCTGCCGGTGGAACCCCTGCTCCGGCGACTGGCGGAACTGACGGGGCCCCGGTCACAGGCGGCGCCATTCTTGCCGACCAGAATGCCGACCCGAATGCCCCGACGCCTGCCCCGAACGCCGACCCGAACGCCGACCCGAACGCTGACCCGAACGCCGACCCGAACGCCGACCCGAACGCTGCGATGAACTCCACCGCCACGACCCCAGACTCGACCACGGGTGGAACTCCTCCGCCTACACTCGGGGGGGCCGATGCCCCTGCGGAATCCGGTGAAACGCCCCCCACGGACGAGACCGCTGGGACAGGGCCATCGGAGACCCCAGCGCCTGAGGCTGGATCTTCGGGCTCTGCTTCGTCCGGCGCCGCCTCGGTGGCTGTTGGCAGTGCCGCCGCCTTCACCGCCGTCGTTGTCACTTATTTCCTGTAGGTGCTTGGAGTTTAGAAGCTGCAAAGGCGCTGTTGTGGGCCGCGAGAGGTTCTGTTGCGAACGCGGCAGTGTCGTCGTCGTCCCCCCATGTATATCGAGGAGTACTTGGTGCTGCTCACTTAGCGACGATAATCGTGATTGCTAATACATACACTTGAAAACCTTTCTTTCGCTCAGTCTGTAGTACTTTGTCCTCGATTCCCTTTCTTCCTGCAACATCCGCGAGCATTCCTGCACTCTCGATGGCAGTGTCTGTTGATGTATTCGTTGCGGCTGTCGTTTCGGTTTCGGTGACCGTTGCAAGGAGGACCTTGAACATGGACGATGATGCATCACGCATGGTACGACTGTGCTTGCTTGCAGAAGAAGCATAGAGTGTGAGGTGGAGGGTCGGGTCGGCCACCTCGTGTTCAAGCAAACGATGACAAAGTCACACTTCGTTCCATATCATATGATAGCACATGTCAATCGGTCGACAGGTAGAGAGAGAAAGAGGAAGTAGATGCACATAGGCATACACTGCCGCGGGTGCAATTGATGTACTACCAGTCGATTACGACGTGGCGTCGAGTAAAGAACAAAACAAGCATCGACTGATGGCCTTCTGACCATCCAAGAACGTGCAACATCGTTGGAATAGCCTGAGGCAGGTTGTTGGCTTGGGTGGACCCGTGGCGTAGCCAAGTTGGTCACATGTGATAGCGCGTGATGACCCTCTCGGGGGTCGGGCTCAAGAAGTTTAGCGCAAGCTTTAAACGCAGTTTCAGTGATGACCCTCATACTTGCACAACACACTATACTATCTGCCTAGCTGAAGCTGTCTTCTCCTGCAATCTCTTTGCCCACGCTTAGAACTAGTAGATAGATACACGACGCCCAAGAGCTATCGGGTTATGGTGAAGATTGGCAGCATCTGCTCTGCAGACTGCTGCATTGCCATCGAGATATTTGGTTACTATCTCGTAAGCCAGTAGCAAACGAAAAAGCCATACGCGGTAGCCCCCCCCACGTCGTCCTACCCTGTCCGCCAGGAACCCCTTCCCACGCAAGAGCATACCATGTACTTCTATGCTGCGCATGTGCCCAACAATCGTTGTGTCCGCCGACGCGTCACCCGTTCTTCGTCCATTGACCCACCATGTCGTCTCGATCGATGCAGCGCAAGCACGTTTCCGGACAAACGCTTCGCAGTCTCCACGCAGTCTCGACAGATAGGTGTCTTACTGCAACTGCTGTCCTTTATCCTCTCAACATCACGCAAGTCTAGCTGCCCAGTCATCACCCGATACCCCCGTTCGGACTTGATGCGCTATAAGTCCGTTACTATGAACCAAACTTCCTCGGTGTTTGCCTGAGCGCTGTTACATTGCCAGTCTGCCGTTTGAGCCGTTGCTCCGAGTCCATCAGACGAAAGCAGCAACGACTTGGACGAACTCGGTTTCGTGTGACCTGGATGCTTGCTGTTGTCCACGGCTTTTGTGATGAAGGCACGAGAAGTTCTGTCTTGTACTGACCATGGAAACCCTATGAAGCTGTGGGTGCACTGCAACGACTAGTCCCCGAATACGTATATCATGGCAAGTCGTCTGTCTTACCATCGGCCGATCGATGTTGACATCAAGCAGCGATACTTGACAGAACCAGTATTTGTCATTACTTCACCCTGCTGCAGACTCAATTGCTTGGACGTGGCTTGCACGATCCCCGTTGGTCGTCTTCGATTCTCTCTCGTCATTTGCCCTTCAGCGACAGCTCGCCTTAACGGCAGTACTCGTCTATGTCGCAGTGGCCGTAGCTATTGCAAGATCATCTTTGTCTCCATCGGTATATCTGGAATGACGATTAAATGGTGTAGTAGCCCACCGTCAACTTCAGCGTCCGAGTGGGATCAGGTTGGTTCTTGTGGCCTCGGTAGTCGAATACGCAATCCGCTTGCCCCGAACGCAAGATACTGAGATTCTTCCCCAGAGCACAGTTGTCAGTTCGGTTGGACTTCCCACGGGACAGTTGCGGCCGCTCTCATCACGCAGCCTGGCAGGGCACGTACCATCGGTCCGTAGAATGTGCGTGGAGATGGCCCAAACCACTGGGTTTTGTCCGGTGCAATCGTCGCTCGTTTCGGAAGGGCTCACCGCGCGACGGCACAAACAAAACTCGCCCTTCTTCTTCCATCGGCTGCCAGTGCGCTGAAGAGAAGCTGCCTAGCGCTCCCACACCCCTGGGATAGTTCGGTTGAGCGGGTCTGCGATTCAAGCGAGCCATTCCAAGCTCCTGTTGAAGCTCGTGACCCAATGAGCGTTCCCGTTTGTAGTGCTCGCTGTAGAGTCTGGGTAGGAGTCTTGATTGTTTCGCTCATCCCTGGCTGTCCCGAAGCACCCGCACCCACACCCACCCTCTTGCGATGGTCGTATCCTTCGACAAGCACGTCAAACAGGCGCACGATTGTTCGGTATGTCTTGGCCGCTGCTGCACTTACTGCCGAGTCGATGTCTCCCACTCGATTTCGCACTCAGGAAGGCCGACCGTAGCCTTCCTGGGGCGCCCAAGCGAGCGGGAGGCATCGGTCTAGAAGCCAGTGCAGCTGCGCTCCGTCATCGCGCGCAGGTGCAACGGCCTTCTCGACAGATGCCTCCCGCTTGCCCGCAGCCACAGCAATGCGACCGCCATTCAGCCAACGCATTGCGACCACCACGCAAAGGTGCCGACACCACGTGCCCGTCAACCCCTACGCAGAGTTGCCAACACCACGTGCCCGTCAACCCCTGCGCAGAATAGCCGGACCTCACGTCATCCTGTGTGGCGTCGCTCTTACATGACCGGCCGCCCCTCTCCCCTCTCCCCTCTCTCTGGAAGTCACACATACAAGCGGACAAATGTCCCACGAGCTAGGGTTCGCAGCGAGCGAGTCTTTGCGCCTACCGCAAGGCTGCAAGCCAGAGCAGCGCAATGGCTCTGGTCATCACGATGCTGCATTACTCCTCCGAGCGCTCTTCATCGATCAGAGGTCGCGTGTCGCAACGATCAACTGACGAAACGAGCCAGTTCCAAATATTGTGCTCCAAGGGACGCGGGGCGTAAAAACGCGTCTCCTTTCCATCTCTCGCGTTCACTATGCGTCCTTGTCCTATCGATCGTGTGCTCGTCGCGCGATGGCCCACCAGGCGACGACCGGCTGTGCCTTTCTTCGTTCGTGTCGTACGCTCGTTCGTCGGTCGCGCACGCAAGAGAAGCAAAGCGACCACCCGATGGTCCCGACGGCTCTGGACAGCGGATAGCCGCCGCCGCAGCGTGTCGGTTGCCTCGCGCGCCAGCCTCCTCCTCATTTTCCCATTTCCCAGCAA